CAGCAGAAGGGTGAAGAAGTTTTTACTGTTACTATCTATATATGCTTAAATATATATATATATTCACAAAAAACCCACAGGCACACTTAAAATCTATTTTAAATATAATATACTTTAAAATGTACTTAAAAATACTAAACCCCAGCAAAACATGTTTATGATACAGTTCACAGGAAATGGTGAGAAAGTGTTTAGACTTCAAGTGATAGTACATGGTCCAAGATTTAATTAATTTTTATACAAAGGCTTTCTCTAAGCCTGGAAGAAGCTATTTTGAATCTTTCTCTTTTTTTTTGGATCTACTATTTTTCAGCTCTGTATACCATATTTCCCACATATCTGGCTTGACCTAGCTAAGTGAGGCCCGTACATGTGACATGAGGTCACCTCTTACCCCCACACATCCCAGAAAGATGGAATCTTTTATTTTTGAAGAATCTTTGTTCTTCCTTGACCCTCTGCTAGCTTAGTTTTCAAATGCATCACCCTCTAGGAACCAGAATAGGATTCATTTACCACAATCAACTCCAACATCCACACCAACAGTTTTAGCTTCAAGCAGGGGGCCGGTTAGCTCAGTGGTTTGAGCGCAGTGCTGACAATGACCAACACCGAGATCATGGGTTCGATTCCTGCTCAGTCCCAATGTGTTGCCTGGTCTAGTCGAGAGGTGGCGTCCCTGCCCATGACAGGGAGGTTGGACTAGATGATCTCTAAGGTCCCTTCCAGCCTAGGCCATTCTATGATCCTATGATTTAACAGGAATTCTATCCCATCGTAAATGGTAAGTTAAAAAGCATTCTTCAGCTGTGACAGCTTTGAAGGAGAAGGTTTTTAGTCAAGATCAAAGAGTTACAGCAATGCATGAGCCAGCATTTTCCCATATTCTACCCAAAGTCACACCAGGGTGAAGAGACTGAGGCGCTTGCACCTTCTCCAAGGGGAAGCGTTCAAAGTTTACATTAAAAAGGAAAAAACTAAAATAGCTGGCTGCAAGACTGGGTGGGTGCATCGACTACTCCCACCTGCCCAGGAAAGACAAAGAGGGCAGCTACAACATTTCACAGCACTAGAGGAAAAAAAGGGTAGCATTCTGTTTAAAATCTAACAGCTGAAATCAGCACATTCTTTGGTGTCACCTGCTGTTACCCAGGTGGGATGAATTGAGAGTTTTGCATCTAACAAGGAGCCAAATACAGACTTTATATACAATTTGGTGGAGTTTTCAGTAGTGATGTTCCTAACAAGAGATTAGTAAGAAGGAGCAGGTTAGAGAAAGAGTTACATCCAGTAAGAAGAAAATTTCATTCCATTTGTTGCATGGAAGGGGAGAAGAGAACAGGAGTAAGGGAGCTGAGCTGTGTCCACAGACTGCTGCTAACACATGGGGAAGTTATTTTTGCCAGTTACTTTGAGCAAAAGTCTACTTTCAAGCCTCACAAGAGGTTTGAGGGATAATAAAAATACATTACACAAGATGA